ATATGGATCTTCATTTGAAGATCACATTTTCCAGAAATTGAATGCTTTGGGCTAAGTACATATCCTAGTAGTAAGTCACGAATGCTCATTCCATTGTAATTTATGGTAGTTTATTGCAAAAAAATATTTACAGCAATGCTTTAATAAGCACTGTCATCTGTCAGATGTTGTTTTGTTCCACTTTTCCCACTGGATGAGACAAATGTTCTTCCTTGGATTAGCTGTCACATCTGTTTTCTATATTTACATTGTGATCTTTAGTTCTTAGTTCTGCGGCCTGATCATTTGAAACTCCTTTTACCTTGCTGATCAAGAACTCACTTCAAAAAGACCCAGATTCTCACTTCAGTCACACCAAGTGTCAATCTGGAGCAAATACTGCAAAGGCAGATATAGGTTCTCCTTACTTACATGGTGTCACCAAGATGAGAGCCTGATGCTCAGAAGTGCTAATTCTTCAAGCACTACTGTTCTTCAATATGAGTTTGAATGTGCAACTTTATAGATGCAAGAGAGCACTTGCACAGTCTGTTGAAATCAGTGGGACTCCTTGTATAAGTAACAAGGTCACCAATTAACAGAGTTGCACAATCAAGCCCTGTGTGCACTCATTTTTACTGATCTAAGCAGTTCTCTCCTCTCTATGTCTTAATAGTCTCAGGAATGTAACTGGAATGAAATAAGTGCCAATGCACTAGCTCCATCCCTTATTGATAAGCCCAAAGGCATTTCCATATGTCTTTGGACCAAATGCTGACTGCTCCCTTTCCTAATATATTGGCAAAATACATTTAGAACTGTGGGAGAAAAATGTCTTCCCCCATCTTAATATCTGCAAAATACCTGGAAAAAACTGTGGCCAATGTAAGACAGTGAAGAAAGATTGTTTCCTTTGGGAAACTATGTTACAGTCTAATAGATCTCATAGTTCATAAATAATGTTAGGGCAAAGACGACCAGGAGTCAGGAGACGCTGTGTGACCTAACCATGTCTCTATGACTCACCTTCCCCACCTGTGAAATGAGGCTAATAAGAGCTCTTCTTTGTAAAGCAATATATGAAAAGTATTAAGTATTATTAACAGTATCAACATATTTACTCTACTTATGCCAATTCAAAACAGAAACAGCGAGGCAATACGAGTCCAATTCATTTGCCAGGCAGCAGTAAAGCTGGCAGAAAATGGGGGAAGGGGCAGGAGAGAATCCACACACACTCCCTGTTAAACGATTCCTGAGGAGTTAGGGAACAGCATAAGCAGGAGTATAAAGGCTTTTACAGCGGAGCTGCAGATGTAGTAATAAAGCAAATGCAAAACTGTGCAAACAAATAGATTTCCCCACAACAGGGCAAGGATGTTTCCGACTTGATAAATGCAGCAGCCCAAACCCTCCATCCATATAAATTCTCATAGTTCCACTAACTTGGATTCATCTCTGTTAATTTATGCCGGCTGAGAAACTGGTTTAGCATGGATACAAAAATGCTTAACTATCTGCAAAAAAGTACCTGAATTGCATAAAGTGGCAACCTTAATTTTGCACTGTGACTACAGCAGGGATTAAATAATTTAGGAAAAAAAATACAGACAGGCTATATTTCAATTCTTACATCTCTGAAAACGCAAAGTAAAAAAATCCATAATATCACATCCATTTGCTGTTGGGTTGGTATTTCTAGTAACATTTTCATTCCAGTTACACCCCCGCAAGAGAACAGGAACAGGGTTAGGCTGACAAGTATGAATATATCAGCCTTGTTTGTATTTCTCTGTGGCTTCAAAGTACTGCAAATACTTCAAAATCCATCTGGATTTGTTGTCGTCTGGAATTTCAAGTGAGCTGTTCATAAATAAAGCCACTTTGGTGGGACAGAAGTCCGGAAAGGAACAAACAGAGACAAATTTTTCACAGCTTCAGTGTTTTCCTAAACAACTAGCATTATTAATTCGTACTCGGTATTTTAACAAACAGCTCTAGAGATAATTCCAAATTATGGTCCTTGTAGGCTGGTCACTTATAGGGACAAACTGAATTTTTAAGTGACATTTATGAAGTATCTTATTAGTCTCTAAAAATTAAAGATCAGTAACAAACATTGAGGTGCTTATTTAAAATCTGAACACAAATAACAGAAAATGCTTCCATTGTCCCTGTCTCTTAATCACCATTCACTTTGTTCTTGTACATAGTACGTTTTGCTTTTAGTCCTATTAAAGTTCCTTATAAAGGTCATCCTAGGATGTATTTACCAAACAGTAAAATGGCCTTCATCAAAACCAAGGGGATGAAAAAACAAACAAACAGTGACACTAATTTGGTGGAGGAAGTCTTAGGGTGGTATTGCATGTCAAGCAAATGAGTTACACCTGCTTCATGTCTGCTGTATCCCACAGTAAGTGGAAGCTAAGCCACCATTCAGCAGCTGTTTCATTCAGGGGTAAGCTACCCTGATTTCACTTCCCCTTACTGTGGGGGACGAAAGAGTTACAATGGTCAGTTGACACGCACTAACACATGACATTAACTCCTTCCCCAGCCTCCTCTTTCAAATCAGTATAGTTGCTTCCCATATCAGTATAATTGCTTCCCTTAACCGCTGCCTTATAACACAAGAGATCTTTATCAACCCCTTTTTACCGATTTCTGTGTTCTCCCCCATCCAAAGGTGAATTAATATTAAAATCTATTTCTCTTTCTAGTGAAACTCCCTGCACATGCAAGCAGAAGAAAACTCTGCAGATAAAAATGGGAATGCAGGAAGGAATGCATCAAGCTCCTGAGGCATTGATAGGACTAGTATCTGAGGTGGTACTTCCTTACCTTATGCACCTGCACAAACAGTCATACATACAATTTAATTCAAACATTAAGGAGTCATCTTTTTTTCTTCACTGGTGTCTGACTACCACTGATAGGAGGCATGTACATTAACAGGGAGAAAATGAACTGTGTTCCCTATTTGCAATTATTTCTCATACCTAAATCAAGAGGTAGAGCGTATAGTAATAGCATCCAGAAGGCACTCAGACCTAAAGTTATAAAGATGGCTTCTGGCACCTGGGTGGGGGGCAAATATCAACATCTGTAACTGCATGCACTTGGTGACAATCTGACTGTCCCTGTAAATTATTTTGCACTGGCAGGTGCAACCAGCTCTGCCTGCAGTTTTGTGCCTATGAAACTGGGGACTGAACTGAGTCCCAGCTAAAAAATTAAGTCCTCATTGTGACAAGAGAAATAGGCAGCAATTCAAATGCCATATTGCATTGTATCTTCTTATCCATTCTGGGCATGTGCCCCTCTGAACTCATGCTAACTAATCCTAACTAATACAAAGCACCAATAACTGGGGAAAATGCAATACATTGAAGAAAGACTTCACTGAAAGCCTGCCGCAACCAGAAAGGAGTAAAACATGAAGCTCAAAGCCAGACTTTTTTTTTCAAAGCTATATTTTGGTTAAGGGTCCATGCAACAGCTTCAAAACCTGCCAGTCTCACTGGTTGTATGACTGTGAGTCTGGAAGCCCCCTCCCCAGACACACACTAAACTCAATAAAACAACCTGTATACAATTAAAAACTGCTCTATAAGTCATGAAAGCAAAGCTGTTAGACAAAATGAAAATATGGATGGAGCTGGAAGGACATGGATAAAGTGGGTAAACAGCACATCAATATTCTGAAACAGAGATAACATATACATGCCCCTGCTGTACTGGGTTTCATATATAAAATGATTTCAAGATCCAGTCTTAAAAGCAGTACATTTAAAATTATGCTCTCTGTCTTTAAGACAGTAACTTGCTCCAAAGGCTAAACATTTATTTGGATGCTTCAAAAGAGAGAAAGTAAGCAAATAACCTAGTTATGTTATTACCCATGCCTTGGAAAGAACTACTCTACACACTATCACCTAGGGATGGCAGGGAAAAAGTTCTACATTTTTTCCATCAACAGTCATCCCCTGTTTTACCCTTATCTCCCTTCTCTTTTTCTCTAAAAGGATAGGAAAAGGTGTTTCAAATAGAAATAAATTAAGAACAAGTTTATTTACAGCCTATGTAAAGATTAATTTTTTCTCTCTCCCCTCTAAAACATATTAGAGATTGGTTTAAGATGAAATGTATTTGATAGTTTTGTAACTTTGTTTATGATATTCTAGTTTATAAAGGCCAGGCATATTCACATCTGGGATTTTGGTTCAACCTCACATCACACAGAGGCACTCCCAAAAGTACATACAGAACAGAACCAGTTTACAGAATTCAGATGGACTGAGATGCCGCTGATTGGGTAAAAGAAATGCTTAGATACTGTAGGACTGCCTCTATGGCTACCTTAATTTGATGCATTGTAACATGCAAGATGCTGTTATGGAGATAATGAACTCCCAAGCTCCGTGAAGCTGTTCCAAATAAAAGGTTTTGTGATAATTTAATTTTACTGAACAAAAAGAATTAACAGTATTTAAATACTGTTATAATCTACCGTCCAAACTATGCCTTTTTTTTCTTTTAAATAAAAGGTCTATAGTCATTCCTGGGTGAAACATTATGTAACTGCGAGGAAAAAAGACCATGCGTTATAGGAATGGGTCACTGTCACTGATTAACAGCAATGGAAATAAATCCCAAATGGAAACACATAGGGCAAGAGATTTATGCTTAGCATTGCACAACACAGCAACAGTAAATATGATGCTGAAAATGCAGTGGAAAGCCTACAGAAACTCTCATAAGATCCACGTTACTATCAAATAGATTCACTGTGATTAACATTTATTATAAATACCAAATGAATTAATAAAGATCAGACCCCTCATTTTAAAATATTGCAGTTTCTCTGAACAGGAACCATGTTAAAGAGGAATATTTTACCTAATGCTGTAGTTACAATATTAGCAAGGAGGCAGGGGGGAAACTCTCAGAAACCACTTTGAGAACAGGATCCCTTTAAATGACAGACCTGCCCCCAATACAATGGCTAAAGCCCTTACCATGAATTCCTCCAGAGTCTGGTAGGTCTTCCCTCTGAATTCACAGTAGTTCTTCCTCTCTTTGCACTGTGGGCAGCACTGACTGGTATCGACATGAATGCACCGGGGGTGGAGTCTTGGGCACTCAGGTTGTATGCACAGAGGTCCCTCTTCAGTGCAAAGGCAGGGGCAGGCAGAGGGGCCTGGAGTAAACTTCTCCCCGATAGCATAAACAAAGCCGCTCTCATCTACACATCCTTTCCCACGGTAGTCTGGATAAGCATACTCCTCGGGGGGCTCAGGTGTAGTGCTTGCTACAGCTTCTGGCAGGGAGGGATCTTCAGCCCCCTGAGGCTCCTCCGGGACACCGTCGCTCTGCTCTTGATCTTCAATATTCCCAGATTTACTGCTGGCTCCCTGAGTAGTCCAAGCCTGCTTCTGCTTAGTCCAAGAGTCTTTGCTTGAATAATTTCTGTTTCCTTTGCTTTTCCAATCTCTGGTGCCCTCCTCCCTCCCATTCCTGCCGATTTCATTCATTTTCCCAGGGCCTGTCTGGCTGTCCCTGGTGGAGGCGTGATCTCTCTTTTCCTGGCTTGTCTTGATCTCCTGTTTGTCTTGAGCCTTGGCCAGTTTTTGCACAGGGATAGTAGAACTACAGAGGGCAACCATGAGGCAGCAGGTGACAAGAAGAGAACTAGAGAGAGCTCCAATGGCCATTGCAGTAGAGCTGGGCATCACCTACTGCATCCCACAGGGGACACTGCATTCACATTCAAGGGAATCACTGTGCAGATCCACAATCCCTAGGAAAAGAACAATTAGCAACACTTCAGCTCACACACTTTGCTGCCTTGTCCTTCCTGCCAATACAAGCTCTCAAACACCAGGCAACTTCATCTGGTAGTTTATACGTAGTATAGGCAGTCACCATTGTGAGATATCCCTCCTCTTCCCCCCCCCCCAATTTTCTATGTATGGTTGTCTGTATGACTGCAAGCTCACTGGAATAGGGACTGGGTTTCTTGCAGCTCAGTAAAAGCATTACCTGAACTGCTGGTGGGATAAGATGCATAACAGCAGTTAAATCAACACACTTGGGGACGTTGTGTTTTGTTTTGTTTTTGTTTTAGCCAAGCACCACAACACGAAGTGGCCATACCCAGAATCAAATAAAACTCGAATCACAGCAGCCTCACACCAACCAGTTCCCTTCCATTTCCCCGACTGCGTGCCTGGTGATTTTCATGCATCTTTTATTCAGTCTGAAAAGAGCTGCTTTAAAATAGCTGATGCAGAATAGCACAACTTCAAACGAAGAAAAGAAAAGAAAAAAAAAAAAAAAAAAAAAGACAAGCAAGCAGCCTGAACCTCTTCGAGCCGGTCAGACTACAGCTGGTCTGATTTTCCTCTGGTAGCCTTGCCTGTTCTCTCTACCTTTGCAAAGACAAAGCAGAACCTGCCTGGGTGCCTCCGCCAGAGGTTCAGCTCAGCGGGATGCTTCAAGACAGACAAAATGAAACGTCCTGGCTAGCTAGCAAAGACCAGTTATCACTTCATACATGAATCCCCACATTCCTAACTCCATGGCAAAATAAGTGAGACATTAGGCCAGTGGTTCTCAACCTTTTTTTGGACTCGAGGCACCCGTCCTGGTCTCCCCTCCCTGGACCCAAGGCACCTCTCACTGGTTTCAAAGCACGCTCACTGGTCTCCCCTCACTGGGCTTGCGGCACCTCTCACTCGTCTCAAAGCACCCCGCGCTGGTCTCCACTCCCTGGCCTCTCCCTGGTTTCAAAGCACACCCGCAGTACTTGAGGCACCCTCCACAGCTCCTGTGAACTGAGGGGAACCCCATGTCAACCAGGACCTTACAGGGCAGTGCCGACCTCCTTGCAGAGCGGCTGGGGGGGGGTCCTCCGGGCAGGGACAAGCCTGCGCCTGGCTGCCCTGCCTATCTCCTTCCCCCTCGGGGCACACCCCAGAGTGCTGGGGGCTGCGACTGCCCCCGCGTGAGGGAAAAAAACACCCCCGACCCCGTCGTCTCCCAGCCCGGCCGGGCAGAGCCCCGCATGCGGGCGCCACTGCGGCGGCGCGGGCTCCCAGCGGGGCTGCCAGGGGGCACCGGCGCCTCCCGCCTCCTTCC